AACCACCAGAGATACAAAGATGACTACTATCATCAACATACAAAGAAAAAAATATCACTACAGCAAAATAACAGAACAAAAAGTTGAAAAACAAAATAGAAAGAAAACACAGAATATTCAAATCAAACAAGAATATTAATAAAATAGTAAGACTCTTATTAATAATAAACTTATTTATTTATTGGAAAGTAAGAGTTACAGAAGAGGAGGGAAAGACAGACAGATCAAACTTTCATACACTGACTCACTCCCACAATGGCTGCAATGGCCAGGGGTGGACAACGCCAGAGGCAGGAGGGTTTGATTAGGGTCTCCCACGAGGGTACAGGGGCCCAAGAAGTTGGGCCACCTTCCACTGCTTTGTCCAGGCCATTAGCAGGGAGCTACACTGGAAGTGGAGCAACAGGCACATAAATTAGCGCCAACATGGGATGCTGGTGACACAGGTGGGGCCTTTGCCTGTTATGCTACAACGCTGGCCCCTAAACTTAATTATAAACCAACTAAATTCCCCCAATTAAGCAATTTGCCAGTGATTAAGCAATTACTGGGAATGCCTGCATCCCATATGCAAGTGCCCAAGTTTGAGTCCTGGCTCCTCTGCTCTGGATCCAGCTTTCTGTTCATGCACTCCCTGAGATGCAGGAAGTGATGACTCAAATACTGGGGGTCTTGTACCCACATGGGAGACCTGGCTTAGGCCTGGCCTAGCCTGGCTATTGATGGCATTTGGGGAGTGAACCAAATTTTGGAAGATCTCTGTGGGTCTCTCAAATTAAAAAATGAGGGGCCAGTGTCTTAGTGTAGCTGACTAAGCTGTTGCCTGCAAGGCTGGCATTCCATATGGGGACCAGTTCAAGTCAGCACCCCATATGGGCGCCAGTTCAAGAACCAGCTGCTCCACTTCTGAACCAGCTCTCTGCTGTGGCCTGGGAAAGCAGTAGAAGATGGCCCAAGTCCTTGGACCCCTGCACCCACATGGGAGACCTAGAGGAAACTTTTGTAGCCTGGCTTCAGATCAGCCCAGCTCAGGCCGTTGGGGCCAATTGGGGAGTAAACCAGTGGATGGAAGATCTCCGCCTCTCCTCTCTATTACTCTGACTTTCAAATAAATAAATAAATCTTAAAAAAAAAAAAAAAAGAATAAAAAAAAAAACATTCAATGGTATGCTGTCTCTAAGAGACTCACTTCACACAGACCAGGGCAGGGATCTGGTCTGGCAGTTAATGCACTGGTTTAGATGTCTGCACTTCAATATATATTGGATTGAAGAAATGAGCCCACTCCAAATTCCAGCTTCCTGTCGATGCACACCCTGGAAGGCAGCAGGTGATATCTCAAGTAGTTTGGGTACCTGCAACCCACGTAGGAAAACAGGACTGAGCCCATGGCTCCTGGCTTCAGCCTGCCCAGCCATGGCCACTGGCCATTCTATTTCTCTGTGTGTCTCTGCCTCTCAGATAAACAAAATAAATTTTAAGGAAATTTTAAGATACATACAGGGGGCCGGTGCTGTGGCATAGTGGGCTGGGCTTACACCTGCAGCACTGGCATCCCCTCTGGGCACTGGTTCAGTGAACCTCTTCCAATCCAGCTCTCTGCTTGTCGCCTTGGAAGCCAGTGGAGCATGGCCCGGGTGCTTGGGCCCCTGCACCCACGTGGGAGACCAGGCAGAAGCTCCTGGCTTAGGATCAACTCAGCTCCAGTCATTGAGGACATCTGAGGAGTGAACCAGTGGGTGGAAGACCTCTCTGCCTTTCCCTCTCTCTGTAACTCTGCCTCTCAAATAAATAAATCTTAAAAAAAAAAAAAAGACACATACAGACTGATAGAAAAGATTTACCACACAAATGGAAATCAAAAGTGAGCCAGAGTGGCTATATTTATATCAACAAAATAGATGTTGAGACAGAAACTATAAAAAGAGATGAAGAAGGAACTACTGAATGATCCAGGAATCAATTCCACAAGAAGATATAAAGATTGCAAATGTACACATAACGTAGGACACCCAACTTTATAAAATGAACATTATGAGATCTAAAGAAAGCACCGGGCTTTGCTTTGACATAATGTTCAAAAACAGACAAGCTGTCCAGACAAATGTGAACCAAGAAGCATCAGGGTCCACCTGTGCTACACACCTAATGGACCGGCAGACATGTACAGGACACTTCACCCAACCGCTCCGGAACACACTCTCTCAGCAACAACAGAACATCCTCCAATCTGAGGAGCAAACCAGCAATGGAAGCTCTCTCTTACCCCTCACCCCTGGCATCTCTCCCCCTCTCTCTGTAACTGACTTTCAAAATATGTAAATAAATATTTAAAAAATAGCAATAAAAAGATAGACTTGGAGAACAGGACACAGATCAAGTCTCAGCAAATTCAGAAAAATCATAATCAGATCATATTTTTTCTGACAAGAATGAAATAAAATTAGGCATCAACCAGAGAAACTTAGGAAATTTATACAAATACATAGAGACTGAACAATATGCTATGGAATTAACAATGGGTCATCAAAGAAATCAAAAGGAAAATCCACAAGTTCTGTGAAACAAATGAAAACAGGAATACAACATACAAAAAATCTAGTAGGTACAAGAAAAGCAGCACTAAAAAGGAAATAATAACCAATGTTTACATCAAAAAAACTACACAGATCTCAAGAAACAAACAATCTAAGGATGTGTCTCAGGCTCAAGAAAGGCAAGAACAAATCGCCCATGTGGGAGACCAGGAGGGAGCTCGAAACTCCACGCTTCATTCAGCCCGGCCCGGCCCGGCCCTGGTCATTGCGGTCATTAGAGGGAACCAGTAGAGGGGATTCTGTCTCATTCTCTCTCTCTTCCTCCCTCCCTCCCTTCCCGTCACTTTGCCTTTCAAATAAAAAAATATTTTAAAAACAAATCAACGAAACAAAAAGCTTTGTTTTTTAAAAGCTAAGGGGGGCGGGGGGGGGGGCAGCGCTGTAGTACGGTGGGCAAAGCCGCCGCCTGTGGTGCTGGCATCCGTGTGCTGGCACTTCTACTCCCGGCTGCAGCTCTTCTCATGCAGCTCTCAGCTGTGCTCTGGGAAAGCAGAAGATGGCCCGGGGGCTTGAGCCCTACACCCACGTGGAAGACCTGGAAGGAACTCCCGGCTTCAGATCCGCCCAGTGCCAACCGTTGCTGCAATCTGGGGAGTGAACCAACGGATGGATGACCTTTCTGTCTCTCCTTCTCTCTGTCTGTAACTCATTTTTAAGAAGAAATTAACAAACCACTAGCTAGACTAAGAGACAAAGAACAAATGCTCAGGTAAATCAACCATCACTCATTGTTTTCCCTAATACTTCACTATAAAACAAGGGAAAACCCTGAAAATTATAAAAGACCATGTTTTCACCTGCTGGGGGTGACCCCACAGAGCCCTACAGAGCCATGGCTGACAGGAAAAGACAAAGGCCATCAGTACCACAGCTCTTCTCACGCAGGTCACCATCTAAGCCAGCTCACCTGAACCCATTCTCACCGCTGAGTTCTACAACGCTGCCAACAGACCCCTCCCACAGAGCTGAAGATGGCCAGGTGTCCTCAGTGTCCCCAGAGCCTGCCGAGCCTGAACCCCACCAGAACCTGTTTCAGCCGGGATCTTCCACTCTCTGTCCACACCAGTGAGAGCATCGAATCTGCCCTCTCAGAACTGCAGCAGCATGCACGCAGCCCAACATTCACAGTCAGGGCCGGCACTGTGGCACAGAAGGTAAAGCCCCGGCCTGCAGCGCCGGCATCCCACATATGTGCCGGTGTGAGTCCCAGCTGCTCCACGTCCGATCCAGCTCTGCTGTGGTCAGGGGAAGCAGTAGAAGATGGCCCAAGGCATTGGGCCCTTGCACCCACGTGGGAGACCCAGAAGAAGCTCTTGGCTTCGGATGGGCACAGCTCTGGCCATTGCGGCTAACTGGGGAATGAACCAGCAGATGGAAGACCTTTCTCTTTCTCTCTCTCTGCCTCTCCTTCTCTAACTCTGACTTTCAAATAAATGAATCTTCAAAAAATAAATTCACAGCCTACCATACACTGTATACGTGAGACCTTCCTGATTTCCTTGGGATACTGGGCTCGGCATGCGGCTGTGAGAGGCCCACAGACAGCAAGCGCCTAGCCACAGGAGAGCCTCAGTGAAGGCGAACCCAGCAGGGGCTGCTCCCACCACAGCTCTTCACTGGTCTTCAGTGGGCCCACGATGAAGCCATCTGAAAAGCAAGCAGTCCTAGCCACTCTGTGATGTACCTGGTGTCAGCAGAGGCACATACACCACCCCAAAGGCAGGTAGCCCCGAAAGGGGCTCTGCACTATGGAAGAAGTCCAGTAAGGAAAGGACACAGGGCCTAACAGAGCAGCCCGTGCTTGCAGGAGGAAGTCAGCACAGACACTCGGGCAATCACTGTCACACCTCCTGCCAACCTGGAGCTTAAGGAGAAGATTAGTGGGGTGGCCACTGTGGTACAGCGGGTTAAGCTGCCTGCACCAGCATCCTGGGTCAGGGTACCAGTTTGAGTCACAGATGATCCACTATGGATCTAGCTTCCTGTTAATGCACCTGGGAAGGCAGTGGAAGACGGATTAGATTCTTGGGCCCCTGTCAACCATGTTGGAGAACCAGATGGAGTTCCTGGCTCCTGGCCTCAGCTTGGCCCTGCCCTGGCTATTGTAGTGATTTGGAGGACTGAACCAGCAGAAAGACTCCTTTGTCTCTCTCTGTTACTCTGGCTTTCAAATAAATACACCTTTTAAAAAAGGAAAAAAAGAAAAACCTCTGAGGCCTAACTCCAATGCATGTGGTACAGGAGACAGACACTTCTAAGATAAGATAAAGTCAGTAATTCAAGCGAAATAAAATATGAAAATCCAAGTCTAAAGCAAAGAGGACATTTTATCCGGGCCTAGAAGCCAGACTGCTGACTCTCATCTCCTGCAGTCCAATGGGGGGCTCTCTCCCCTGCTCTTACCTTTCGGGCATGGTCAGCTTCCGATGTGCTCTCTTTAGAAGTCCTACTGTCCTCAGTGGGAAACGCAGCTGCCCGCTCAGCCCCGTGTTCCTCCTCCTCCTCGAGCTCATCGGAGTCGTCCTCCTCGGAGTCCACGTCCAGGCTCTCCCCGTTCACGTGGAGTGCACTGTCCCCCAGCTCCTTCTCTCCCTGCAACACGGCAGGGCACGCCCTCAAGACAGGTCCTGCACACATCCACGCCAACCCGCAGAGCCTGTGAGGGCAAGCGCCTGCCAGGGACAGGACCATAGCGAGCCGGGCAGGCGGCAGGGCTGAGGGAGAAGGATGAGGAGAACGAGGTGGGTGGGTCTCCAGTGACTCACCTGACCAGAGGCTCTGCCCAGAGAGAGGACTTCAGAGGAAGGGAAGGTCGTCCAGACAGACCACGGACAACCTCACATGACCCTTGTTTTCCCACACTTATTTGCACACACGGCAAATAAGTCAAAGGTTCCCCTTACCTTGGGACCCACAGTGGAATGAGTTAGACTCTTGAACATCTCAATCACCGTCCTCTGTTTTAACACTTTGGTCTTTTTCTTAGGAACCAGGCTATAGGTTCCCATTCTTCGTTTTTTCTTGCGAGACACTGCAGCTGCTAAAACAAAAGGCAAGCAAGCTAAAAAAAAAAAAAAGTCAAAAGGGGACAAGAAAGGAAAAGATACCATTCAAATGTTTCTTAAAGGTAGGAGACAGTTCACAAAAACTGATCACCCAAATCCCACATCAGGCACCTCTCACAAGTCACAACTGCAGAGGAAGCTGAGACAATTTCCAGACTAGTGCTGGGAACACACTTCACAAAAACACATGGAGCAAAGGTACCGGCAGCCTGCATGCAGAAAACCAAAATCACACAGACAGAAGCAGATCTCGACGTGCCTCCCACACCCAACCTCCTTGGTTTAGAACAATCAAATGAAAACCCTCTTACTTTAGAAACTGGACCAGTGCTGTGGCACAGTGGGTTAAGCTGCCACCTGTGACACCAACATCCCACATAAGAGCCAGGGTAGTCCCAGTTGCTCCCTTTCTACCCAGCTCCCTGCTAATGTACCTGGGAAGGCAGCCGAAGATGGTCTGACTCCTCAGGCCCCTGCCAACCACATTGGAGACCCAGAGGAGTTTCAGGCTTCTGGATTTGGGCTGGCCCAGTCCTAGCTATTGAAACCACTTGGGGGGTGAACCTGCACACAGATCTGTTCTCTCCCACTCTTTCTGTTACTCTGCCTTGCAAATACTAAACCAACAATAACAAAAATAATTTTTTAAAAAAGAAAGAACCTGCATGCACAACACAGCAAATACGGTGGGAACTGCATGGGGCTGAGAGGGAGGCACCCAGTCCCAGTCCCAGTCCCAGTCCCAGTCCATGCTACTGTGGGGCAGGTCAGCCTACCTGGGCTGCATGTACAACCATATCAGGATCATACCGTGACCTCAGCACTCTGTGTAATTCTACTCTACAGTCCACCAGAACCCTTTCCCCAAGAACTAACAGAAGAGCAGGACCCTAAGGCTACTGTCCAGTCTGCCATTAAAAGAAAAGTAGGGGGGCCGGCACTGTGGCATAGCAAGTTAAGCCACTGTCTGCAGTGCCAGCACCCCATATGGGTGACGGTTTGAGTCCCGGCTGCTCCACTTCCGATCCAGGTTTCTGTTATGGCCTGGGAAAGCAGTAGAAGATGGCCCAAGCTCTTGGGCCCCTGCATCCACATGGGAGACCCGGTAGAAGCTCCAGGTTCCTGGCTTCAGATAGGCCCAGCTCCAGCCATTGTGGCCATTTGGGGAGTGAACAAGCAGATGGAAGATCTCTCGCTCGCTCTCTGCCTCTGCCTCTCTGTAACTTTGCTTTTCAAATACATTTAAAAAAAAAAAAAAAAAACTTAAAAAAAGTTGGAGGGGCCAGGATTGTGGCACAGCAGGGTTAAGCCAATGATGGTAGTGCTTGGTTTGAGTCATGGCTGCTCTGCTTCTGATTCAACTTCCTGCTACTGTGTTTAGGAAGGCAGAAGAAAGTAACCCAGGTACTTCGCCTCTGTCAGCCATGTGGGAGATCCAGATGGAGTTCTGAGCTCCTGGCTTTGGCCTGGCCCGTCTCCAGGTGTTGCTGCCATTTGGAGAGTGCACCAATGGAAGGAAGATCTCTTCTTGCTCTCTCTCTATTTACCTCTATCACTGTGCCTTTCAAATAAATAAAAACCATCTTTCAAAAAAAAAGAAAGAGACAAGCAGTAAAGAATGAACATCTGGATGCTTTGGGGGAGTGGTTTTCAAAACAAGAGACAGCAGCAAGGAAGGAAAGCAGAGCATCGGGGCCAGCGCTATGGCACAGCCGGCCAAGCCACCACCTGCAATGCCGGCGTCCCGGAAGGGCTCGAGTTCTGGCTGCTCCACTTCCAATCCAGCTCCCTGCTGACATGTCTGGAAAAGCAGCAGAAGATGGCCCCTGCACCCACGTTGAGAGATTCGGATGAAACTCCTGGCTTCGGCCTGGCTCAGCCCTGGCCATTGTGGCCATCTGGAGAGTGAACCAGCAGAGGGAAGAGCGCTTTCTCTCCCTCCCTCCCTCCGTCTCTCTCTCTCTCTCTCCATCCACTGGTTCACTCCCCAAATGGCCACAACAGCTAGTTGGTCAAAGCCAGGAGCCAGGAGCGCCATCCAGGTCTCCCACCTGGGCTTCAAGGGCTCAAGCACTTGAGCTATCTGCCACTGCCTCCCCAGGTGCATTAGAACTGAGCTGATCAGAAGCGGAGATGTGGGGACTCTGATATGGGATGCTGACATCGCAAGTAGCAGCTTAACCCATTATACCACAATGCCAGCACACCCCTCTGAAAAAAGCAGCTCTATGCTGACTGGTTTTATGTAACGACACTCTTATGGTAGAGTTCCAGGGTATAAAAAACAACTTAAAAACCACTGGAATTGGTGGTGCAGTGGGTTGGTGGTGCAGCAGGTTAACTGATGCCGGCCTGAAGTGCCGGCATCCCATATGGGCACAGGTTCTAGTCCCGGCTGCTCCTCTTCTGATCCAGCTTTTTGATATGGCCTAGGATAGCAGTGGAAGATGGCCCAAGTCCTTGAGCCCCTGCACCTACATGGGAGACCAGGAAGAAGCTCCTGGTCCCTGGCTTCAGATTGGCACAGCTTGGGCCATTACGGCCATCTGGGGAGTGAATCAACGATGGAAGACCTCTCTCTCTGTCTCTACCTCTCTCTGTAACTCTTTCAAATAAATAAAATAAATCTAAAAAAGAAAAAAAAAAAAAAAACATTGGAAGCATAAAGAAAATTATTAAAGGGCAGGACAAAAATACATCATGTTCTAGTTCTACAAAATGATGTGAGAGCTCAAGGAACACTCAGTGTGGGAAGCCACAGCTCAGCATCCACGTTACAGCTCCACAGCCTGATGCCACAGGAGCTGGGACAGTCACCCCATGCCTCTTGCAGCACAGCTGTCCCCGAGTGCCAGGAGACCCTGAGGCTGCCCTACAACGGCTCTACCACTACGATCAGCTTGTGAGGGGCCTGGCACGATGGCGCAGAGGGTTAAAGCCCTGGCTTGAAGCTGTGGCATCCCATACAGATGGCAATTTAAGTCCTAGCTGCTCCATTTCTGATCTAGCTCTCTACTATGGCCTGGGAAAGTAGTGGAAGATGACCTAAATCCTTGAGCCCCTGCACCCACGTGAGAGACCCGGAAAAAGCTCCTGGCTCCTGATTGGCTCAGCTCTGTTGCAGCCATTTGGGGAGTGAAACCGTGGATGGAAGACCTCTCTCCCTCCCTCCCTCCCACCCCTCTCTGCAACTATGCCTTTCAAATAAATTAATTAAAGTAAATTAAAAAAAATTTTAAAATGGTTGGAAGTCAGTACTGAGGCACCATGGGCTAAGCCTCTGCCAACTGCACTGGAATTCCCTATGGATACCCATTCCAGTCCCAGCTGTGTCTATTCCAATCCTGCTCTCTGCTATGGCCTGGGAAAGCAGTACAAAATGGCGGGAGACTTTGGGCCCCTGCACCCAAGGGGGAGACCTGGAAGAAGCTCCTGGCTCCTGGCTTATCAGCTCAGCGCCAGCTGTTGCAGGCATCTGGGGAATGAACCAATGGGTAGAGGACCTCTCTCTATCTCTCCCTCTCTATCTGTAATTCTACCTCTCAAATAAATAAAATCTTTTTTAAACTTGAAAAAATAAATGGTTGGTTCCCATGTTTGTGGTTCCCACATCCAGGGCATGAATCCACTGCGAAGTGACATTGTTTGTCTCAGAAAACTACATCTGTACTGAATGTATGCAGACTTCTTTCTTTCATTATTCCTTAAACAACAAAAAATAGTGTGTACATGCTGTCAGCATCTAGAGATGACTCACACTACACGGGAAGCTGGTTGCAGGTTCTATGCAAACACCAGGCCATTTCCTCCAGGGATTGAACATCCAGGGAGGACGGCATCCTCACGGGATCCTGGAGAAGGGTCTCACTGGACTCTTCCCCTGACTTCAGATCAGTAGCCCAGAGTCCTGCATGCACCAGCCAGGCCGGTCTGCTTCACAGGCAGCTGAGCAAGTTCCTCTCAGATCCTCCAGGGCCGCATGCACGCTGCAGCCCTGTGAGTGGTTGGGACAGAGACCGAAGGCCCACAATGCCCAAGGCACTCACCACTGCCCATCCAGCAATGACCTGCAGAGCAGGACCAAGGACCTCAGGACCCTTTCTTCCCAGTCAACAAGTTGTCCTTGTGGAATCTTCAGCCAAGCCATGAGCTTGCAACACTACACAACAGTCCAGAATGTCTCAGTGATGTTCTGCAGGGCCACAGAGCACCTGAATATTTACCAACAAGAGGTGAAGGTGGGGCTCCCTCCATGTAGCAAGGAAGACTTCGCTGTGTCAAAGCAGGGTCCAGACCCAGGAGGAAGACACAACAGGAGTAAAAGGGGCTACGAGGCAGGAGGATATGAGGCTCAGACCTCAGTGAGGATGTCCAGGGCCCTGAGGGTGGGGTCAAGTGGACAGGAGCATCAGTGACAGAGCAATGGGGACAGAGGGATCTGGAGACCTAATAGGAGCCCACAGCACCGACTGCCTCTCACAGGACAGGCCCAGAGACCCACAACAGGGCAGCCAGAGACAGGCAGCCACAAGAGTGGAAGTGGATGGACAGGTATGGTTCAGCTGCTCAGGTGGGGCGGCTGTAGTCAGGGTAACAGCAAAAGGCTCCAGAGCGCAGACACAGGTGAAGGAGGGTGGAAACGAGACAGAACACACAGAGGCTGGGCAAGCACTTGGAGGCCACTCTGCAGCCCAGTGCAAGTTTCTCCTTCAGGCCACAGACAGCAGGGCCTGGCTGTCCACAATGCTGGAGATGGTACGCCATGCCTACCCCCTGCCTCTCAGGGCCACCATTCTCTTCCTCCTTACCAGCCCACATGGAGACTTCAATTTGACTAATTCAAACTGTGGCGAACTTTCACCCAGCGACCCTGAGAGACAAAGCAGACATTTCTCTCCCATGACCCAGCCACAGCGTAGCATCTAGTGACATGGCCACAGTGCAGGGTCACAATACAGGGCATCTAAGTGACATGGCCACAGGGCAGGGTCAGAGG